AATTCCGAAGGAAAAGTTTGTAAGAATACAGAGCTTACTATTCAAGAAGATAAATTTTGCTAAACAAAATTTTTAGTTCTAAAATTATTTTTATTGAATGAATAATAAATGAGGTTCTACAGGAAATTATAATCCCTTTCCAATTTTCCTTTAAATTTAACTAAACAAATTATTTTAAGTAAGATTTTCTCCGTTAAAACTCACCTGTTAAAACAATTTTTGTACATCTCAACATCAAAAGTGATGACAACTACTAGGCGTTTCATTACACCAAGACTAAAGATTATTCCTGGTGTAGTGGGCCACCAAAAATATTATTCACATTACTTGGTGTAAAGTCACCGCCATCATTTTTGTTTTTCAACATTACTAAAATTTATAATTACTGTGAGATAGGATACGCATAAGGGTCATTAAAGTTTATTTTACGATAAAATATAAAGTGAGAATCCTTAACTTTGCGTACAGAAAATACGCACCACACAGAGAGAATGCTAATATAAATTCGAACTAGGCTTATTCGAACTAGGCTTAGTTAAAGGAAGTGAATAGAAGTAAAATAAAATTATTTTATTCAATTCACAAATTTATCTAAATAATCTTATGAGAACATAAAAGGTGAGAACATTGTGAGAACATCATAAATAGCATATGAGAACATAAATTTCTTTATTATACAATTTGAAACATGCAGTAGTTGGACGAAAATATGGAAACATTTTCTATACTAACTCTATGTTAGCAAGTTCCTGGAGTAGTGAGACCCCAAGAATATTCCTTATACTACTTGGTGTAATGTCACCGCCATCATTTTTATTTTCAGTAATACTAAAATTTCTAATAACTGTAAGATAGGACACACATAAGAGTCAGTAAATTTTATTTTGCGATAAAATATAAAGTGAGAATCCTTATAGAAAATATAGAAAATACACACCGCACTGAGAGAATATTAATATAAATTCAAACTTGGCTGAGTTAAACGAAGTGAATAGAAGTTATATTTAATAAAAGTATTTCATTCAATTTACAAATTTAGGCAAATATTCTCATGAGAACATAAATGAAGATGAGAATATTATGAGAATATAAATATCTTTATTATACAACTAAAAACAAACAGAGGCCGGACTAGTTTGGTTAGTTAGACGTTGGGCCCATGTCCAATGGGTCTTGAGTTCGATCCCTGAGTAGTAAATGATGACTATGTTAAATCTGTCAGGTCACGAAGTCTTCCATATTCCCATAACAAATCATACCTTCTCATAATAGATATTCTTGGCAATAGATCTTGGTCGTACTCTTGGCCCCTGAGAAACAAGAAAAGCACTCCCTGCCTTAAATTCGCTTGATTTCACTAAGCAGGCTTGCTGGTATTCGCAAGTGGTATTAGAAACAACAAAAACATACAGGAGTAGGACAAAAATATGGAAGCATTTCTATACCAGCAACTAACTCTATTTAAACAATCTTTCTTTTAGATCTAGATAACAAAAAGATTTTACATGACAAAACTCTTCGCTTAATTTAAAAAATCATACTTGAATCTCTTTTAATTTATGTCTTATTTATCAATGCAAAATTCGGATAGATCAAAATGAGAATAGAGGGCATTACTTGTTTCCTTTTCTGTTCCAAAATCTATTTCTTAGGTTATATTTTGGTAAATCATGTTGGTCATTTAAGAAAATAAATTGCGAAAAGAGAAATTCGAGTAGTTTATTCGATAAAATTGCTTACATTTACTGAAGTTTATCACGCTAAGCTGTTTATTTCTTCTTATTATTATAAAACTAAAAAAAGAAGTAATTTTTAAAAAAAATCATGTTTACTTGAAGAATTTGTAGTGAATAGGTTATTGCTTTTTCATTTAGAAATGCTAAATTTCCATTGTTTATTCAATGAGGTAAAGCAAAACTCAAAAAGTTTATTTCGGAATGCGTCGAGTAAAATAATTATTTAGCCTTTCTCATTACATTTTGTTAATAAATAATAAACATGATAGTCTTTAAAATGCAAAATAACAAATTATTTTCGAGTTCTTTGTCCGTTTTGATAATTCAGATCAATGATAGATCATAATCATGGATTATTGAGCAATATGCTCTACTAGATTGTAATATCGAAAATAAAAAAATTGGAAGCTACAAATCTAATAAATGATTATTCTTGCTGCTATGATTATCGTTATAACAAATACTAATGCAAAGAATAAATTACAGTTAGATTTTGGAAATTATTTTGATTCCACCATAAAATAAATTAGAAATAGATAAATATTAGAAAACCAAAAGGTAGACTACTAAATTTATTTGTTTATACTGATATAGATCAGTAAAAATCATTTGTTTAAATTAATTTGTTAAATTAATATTATGTATAATGTGCAAATTGAAAAACAAAATTAATTATATTTAGTTCTGCATATAATTGCACGAATGCTAAATTATCTTCTCTTTTATATAAAACGCTAATACGTACGTATGTATGTATCAATAAAACCGATGATATTTCTTTTCTCGCGCTGGCAACAGTTAGCAGGGTTAGCGAGCAACAGCGAGCAGGGGGCGAAGCCTCCTAGTTTTAAGGAATTTTTTTAAAAACTTTTTAGCATCAATTAGCACAACAGTCGCCTAAAAAACCAATTTTTTTTTTCATTTATTTATTTACTTCATTCATACTGCAGTCGTGTGTAAAAGGTGGTTAAAGTAAGATTTAGTTTTTCAAATTTCTTTTTTATTAGTTGTTAACTTCTTATCTTAAGATGCAAGTTTCAATTCCCGAGAATAAAAAAGAAATCTGAAATGTGATAGTGAATAAAATAATGCGTTAAGAAGAGCTTTCTGAAGTCAAACTTTTGGAGGAGTTAAAACGATCAATGCAAAGTTATTTGCAGAAGATACTTATCTACAGATTTAAATTGCGATTTCTTTTTAACTTATTTCTCAAAATCATGCCATCGATCTCGACGAAACTGTTCATCCGCTTTTCCTTACTTCATGAGATTATAGAAAATCATATCCTGTGTAACAAAGCATATGATGTTTTCGGTATCTTTCTTTTCTTCTCTAAGCTTAAAAATATTTTTTTATGTAAAATAAGGAAAAATGAATTCAAGAAACTTATGAAAAATTTAAATAAATGTATGAAAAAACAAACATATAAATTCAATAAATAAAATTAAAATAAATAGAAAAGGGAAATCAATATACGTATAATTAAATAAATAAGTAACACAAAAAAATAAATGAAATGAAAAAATAAGTTAAATAAAAAAATAAGTTAAATAAAAAAATAAGTAAAATAAATAAATAAGTGAAAAAAATTAAATAGCATGCATGAACGAATTGTCTACGCCATTTCACTGTGGGCCAGAAGACCATGATCTTCGGCCAAAAGTCAAAATTACATTTCCAACTAAAATATGTGTAAGCAGTTTTAATATTGCTCAAATTAAGTACTCATAATCATTCCAAACATTATAAATTACTTTTTGAACCGACGAGAGTAGTTAAAATACGAGTACGAGAGAATGTAAGTTAAAAATATGTTAAAAAAGTCTTTTTAAAATGTAACTTTTAAATTTATATTTCAGAAATATATATAGGAATTTCACCTTTCTGTTACATTTTTATTAGAGTAATTAGTCTGAAATTATAGTACAACTTTTCAATTTGTTGGATTAGTCAATACTCTTGACAAACTTATAGTTTATATCGTATCATTTGACATTTTGCAATGTATGAATCACTTTCGAAACTAATCTCCAAAAAGTTCCACGAGATAATTAGCTAAACTTTTTTTTTGTTGCCTTCTTTGATGTTTCTTCTTTCGAAAAAACCTGCCCCATTTTGCCCATATTTCAAAGGTGGACTAAATATACCAACAAAAAAAATTATGTTTTTTTCTTCATGTTTTCGCGTCATTTTGTAACTAATTAGCGTTATTTTGTTATATTACTTCGGAAATATAATTTGTTTTTCATTTTTAATAAGAAATTATGAAAATTATTATATTTTCATTGCTATACTTAATTATTTTAACGTATTATAATATTTTTTTATTTCTGCTCACCATATTTCAGCCACCATTTTGCTTTGTTTTTTGGTATTTTTAGTGTATTTCAAAATTTTAACTATGAATTCAATTTACCTGCAGATAAAAACCCCTAAATAAAAATCCCCAAATTTTGAAACAGATTTTATCGAAATACTAATTTTGGCCACGAAACCTTGGATGCTGGCCCACTGTGCATTTGCAGCGATATCAATTTTTCTAGTTTTTAATAAAATCGAACTGGAATTTGAATGATAATATCGGCTCTTTTGCTCGGAATGACCGAACTCTTTTTATTAGCAGACCCACATTAGATATAAATCAGTTTTCCCTTTACAAAATATCAGGTGCTTTTGAGGTTCACTGTTTCAAAAAATAAACCTGAGTAAAAAATAAAATGTAATTTCACCAAAAATAACCTATTTTTTGCCACCAAAAATTTAAACCTTAATTTAACCTGATTTACACCTCACAAAATCAACCTTATATATAACTCAGAAAAAATTTTACTTTAGATCGGGTGAAATTATTCACACCTCAAATATACATCTTTGCTTAAAGTGTAGAATCCATACTCCTCAAAAACAACCTCTCTAAGCTGGTTGCTCTAAAGAAGATTTCTATCAACCTCAAATGTGAATAAAAACAAATTCATACGCCTTGATTATACACCTTGGGAGATTGGCATTTTAAGGTTTTTTTTTAAATGAACTTTGAATAAACCTCAACTAAACCATGACACCTCAAAACAACCTCATTCAAATCTCAAAAAAAACCTAAAATTTTTTAAGGGGTCATCTCTTATTTAGTGAATGAATAAAACCAAAGTAAAAACATTTGTCTCAATTGAAGGTACTTAAATAAAAGTATTCTTAAATTGATTGTATTGTAAGTTTATTGCACGTATACTCCTCTTAAACATACTCTTTTTCTTAATTTTTTAGATTTTAACTCAAGAAATGAGCAACAAGTCAGTGGAAAATGATGAGAATTCGTCAGAGACTTTAAATCCAGCGAGTGAATCAACTTGTTTCCAGCCTCGTTTGAGCCGCACGCTAATCATAGTCATCATATTTGATATTCTTCTTTGCATAGCAACTATTGTTGGAAATACTCTAGTCGTCTTTGCCGTTCTAAGGTACAAAAAGTGAGTTTTGAAGTCTGGGACTAAAGAATTACATATTACTTTGTAGCTATAGTCATTACACTAATAATGCAAAGTCTGAAAAGTGTTTCTCAATGACCGCCTTTACCACATATTTTTAGAAAACCCTTTCAAAAATTAAGTTAAAAGATGTATTAGGAGTTGAAACTTAATATTAAAGCTAGAGTATTCAGTTCATTCCCCTCTTCGTTTCTTTCACCAATCCCTTCACGATTGATTTACAATGATTTAGATTTCTTAGCAAGCAAACAAATTTTTCAAAAAATTTTAGTCATCATCAAAATTTTAAAAAAATTATTTAATTAAAAAAAAAATAGAATTTTTTTAATTAACACGGATTTGTTTTTATACATCTAATTCCCGATTCCATTACGACGCAATTTAAATCTAATCGTTTTGCCTATTTATCATTACCTCATCATCTACTATTTTATTTTTTAAATTCTCATTTAATGTTTGGTCACTCTAAAATCTCATTAAATGTGTTTCATTAAATCTCCAATAATTCAATTAATGCCTCAAAAACCTAACGTTTCAGACAGAAATTCTAAAAGTTAGTAACAAGTTTAGAAAAATGAAACATTAAAACTGAGAAATTTTCTGCTTACAATTTAACATATAAGTCCTTCTATTTCGAGATTCTATAATTTGGTTTAAAATCCTAAGGTACGCCGAAGTTCCTAATTTTACATAGAGACTACCCGACTATTCGAAGCGTGAATATTTTTTTTTTCAAATGAAGTGAAGAGAATTTGGTAATTTTCTTTCGAAAGTGTAGTGGTCGCAGGTGTTTAGCGACGCAGCGTTTTAATACAATAACCAAGATAGAAGCGTTAGAAATAATTTTCGCTAAAAATCAATGTAAATTGTCGGAATAAAATGCGCGTTGAATTAAACATTTTAGAGCTGAGTCATTTTAATGGTGTTGGCTACCATACATTATGTTGCTAAATTATGAATTATATTTCAAAATTATATATTTAATTCAAAATGCATTTATCATTTAATTTAATATAATACAAATTAAAAAATTAAAGATATGAGCGTAATAATGCAAGTTTAAAGTTTTATGCTAATTAGAATTTAACAAGCAAATTTCTTAGATTTAGCTTCATTAAACGTTGGAAATTCTTGATTGAATGAAAGGTTTCGATCCTTTGGATTAAAAATTTATGCATTTATTATTAATTGATTATAAGCATAATTTTCGACAATCCTCACCCTCAATTCTTAGTATTCTTGTTTCATTATCAAGGTCATTGATCGTAACGATGAAATTTGAAATGTCAAAAATAGTTTGTCAAAGTAAATAGCAAAGTGATGAAGTACAACTACACTGTAAAAAATGAATACTCAAATCTCAAGAAACTTTCTTCCTTTTTGACGAACCCATTTCCTAGTAAATGCACCGAACAAAGATTTAGTCAAAGTGAAGAAATAACTATCGACACTTTTTCGAGGATAAGGATATCGTCAGAAGGAAAGAAATCTTTCGACATTCTATTTTATTACTTTTTTTTTAAGTACCATGAGGCACTAAAAGTGCTAACTAACGAAGTGGTAACTAACGAATAGATTGCAGATAAATTTTTCGTGCGTGTAAAATAGGTGGATCAACGTTACTCCAACAACACAAGGACAGATAGAACAGAGAAATAAAACACATTCGTATCCGAAGAGGGATTCGAATCCGAGACCTTCCAGTTATGAGGCCAACTCTTTGACCACCATACAGATTGATAAATTTTTGAAAAATCTCAAAATTAGTGAAGTACAGTTCAAGGACTGCAGAATCGTCTTAAGAGAGAGTTTTGTATCTGAGAGTGGAAGAAGTGATTATCAGAAATGCTCTTCATAATCATCGAAAAATCAAAGTGGTTTTCACGTCTTCATTTAGTTAATTTATTTTAAGGGTAGTATTTCTTCCGATTTAATACTTTCAATTTTAAAAACGTAACTAACTTTACTGTGTACTATTACTCTGATTCACAGGTTCATCTTTTCATACTCACCACATCTACATCTACAACAAGTCATTGCTCTAAATAATTTTTTGTAAAATTCAGAAAATTTCATAAATTTGAAAGACTTTTAAGAGAATATATTTTTACTTATTCATCGGACCTGAAATCGACACCAGGAATATTGTATATAATTTTAACGCTGAGGCGGGGTGTATTTTTAGAACTTTGTAAAAATTAATATTTAGAACATATTCAGACCATGAATATTACGAACTGTCTTTGCTGACTCAGAATGCATCTTTAAAACTTCGTAATATTTCATATTTAAAACAAATGTTACTCTCAACATAGTGGTCTCTCAAATGTGATCATCGTTCACCATAATGCAAGAAATTTGTTTAATGATTGTTAAATCCTTCTTTTCGATTCTTGAGCTAGTTCTGCTCTCATTCAATTATTAGATCCTTCCAATTGAAGTTAATAAAAATTTCTTTGAAGGCTTTTCCTATCGAAATAGAGCTTCCTTGATTTTGTGTCATAACTGGACACAAGAATGTCTACAGGGTGTCCTAGAACTTCGTATACAAACTTAGAGGAGAGGCAGGGTACATCATATAGGGCACCATTTGAGCTGGCCATTCCATGAAATGTACCCTATTATCGAAAACTCAACCTCATGAAACTCTTGTTATGTGCAAATGGCTATGTTAACCAGCTGCAAAAATTCAACTTTGTATATGGATTCTACAAATGGCAATAGATGAGTTTGTCATTAGGTTTTTTTCTAGAAGGAAAATTACCACTTGCAAATATGAATTTGTATTAAGTTTTATTAATATAGATGCTTCATCCTCATTGACTAGCTTCATGTCTAGTTATGGCACAAAATCAAAGTGGCTTTATTTCAGTCGGACACACCTTACAACATCGCATAAACTTCGCAAATGCAGAGAAATATAATCACTCTTTTTTTATTTGGCATACACGTCTTCCTTAAGAAGTACATCATTTTATTTGCCTTTCACTTTCCAGTGCTTTTCTCTGGATAGGCAATAGATACAGCAGAAAAATATTATTTTTTCTTTTAAAAATCTTAAGGAAAATTTTCGAAATAAATACACAAGAATTAATTCCAATCGTTAACTGCTATGATGGCAGCGCGAGTAAGACACTGAGTCGCCATTGTGAGAAATTGGGTCTCAATCCTTAGTATTGACTGAAGCCTACTCAGTTTCACATCAGTAGCTACTCTATGAAGCAATATTCAACCAGAGCACAATGCGGATCAAATTAAAACCCACATACCGCTAACTTCAAAATTATACCTATGAACCATAAAACTCTATGAAACATCTGGATGACAGCTGGCTTTTTCAAAACTTTTTTACTAAATGTCGTGAAATGAATTTTATGTTTTAAATATTTTATTATTTATTTCTACCCAAATTACAATTACTTTATGAATGTAATTGTTACTTACTTTCAATTGTGAAATATGTGCCTGCAATTTTTTCTTTGATTTTCATCTTCTTCAGCTATTTTTTACTATTTCTGAAAAATTATAATCATGCACACTGTTAATTTTTTTTAAATCTCTTAAAATTTATAACAATATATTGCTTATTGNCGCGCCGAAGCCTATCAATTAAAAATGAAAATTGTTGCCAACGCGAGAAAAGAAATATCATCAGTTTTATTGATACATACGTATTAGCGTTTTATATAATATAGATATTGCTTATTGAATATGATAACATTTATTAAAAGTCTTGCGCTAAGACAACATTTTTTAATTGTTACTGAAAGGAAATGGCATTTAAAAGTGTACTTTTTATATTAATGAGAACTAAATTTATTTTTGAAAATATCACTACAAATTATGCTTTAATTTCACTTTTTTTCCTTCTTTTTAAGATATCGTCAACTTCGCAGTGTTACAAATGTATTTATTCTTGGCCTGGCAGCAGCCGATTTGTTGGTTGGTCTCAACGTCCCTTACTACATCCTGTTTTATTTCGACATGATGTCATTGTCTTGCAATCGTATCACTTGCTTGTTGAGATACTGGTTCACCATATACACTTCGGGATGTTCTCTTTTGTGTTGTGTTGGAGCTGCTGTGGATCGCTACATCGCCATTTTGCACCCATTATCCTACATGCGAGTCATGCGAACCAGATATGCATCAATATACGTTCTTATAGTGTGGCTATCAATGGGAGTCGTCAGCTCTTTACCTTTGGCAGGAATAGGTGACACATTTCATCCAAAGAATGAGTGTGACTTATATTATACACATACAGCAAATTATGCTTTGGGTGCTGTAGCATCTGTAGTGACAGGAACATTTGTCATTACTACAACTCTGTATATAATAATTTTCAAGGCTGCATTAAAGCACAAGCGAGCTGTCGTGGCTCTAGATTATAGCAACAAAACGAGACAAGAAGCCAAAACTGCTAAAATGATGGCTCTAGTAATGGGTGTGAATTTGTTAGGTTTCCTACCTTACCTGACGGTGATTACGATGAGATACCTAGATGGCGTGAATCAAGAGAAGATAGCTTATTTTAAGCCTTTTGTAGTCTGTTGTTATTTTGGAAAGTCCGCGATGAATCCTATTATTTATGGTTGGAAAAACAAAGATTTTAGATCCGCTTTCAGAAGAATGACTAGTTTTAAAAAAGAAATGCAAGTCCATTACCCTAACACCAAGAAAAAAATGGTATATTGAAGTGTTCAGTCTTTCCGGCTGACAAATGGTTGTATTTTTAAACTATTGCTGTATATAATCCTTTGCTAAAAATAAATTTTTACTGTGCTAAACACTCACGTTTTTGCTACATATGTAATTATTTGTAAATAAAATATCTTTGTTTTTTTCATTTGTATATTTTTTACAACTGATTGCTTCGAACACAGTGAAGCTTTTAGTGTGTAGTGATGATTTGCACAGTGACTGTTCCATGCAGCACATAAGTTATATACAAGGATCCAATCAACTGGCCGATGGACATTTCTATTAAGCTACACTACATTATAAAAAATTCTGAATCAAATTACAGTAAGAAGTACCGACACTGAGGAAGTCGGTACATTTCCCCGTAGTTATTTCATTAAAGCCGAGAAATCAAAGCAAATGCGTATGAAATATTTCAAACCTATATATTTTGAGCAATATTCGTTTCACAAACTGCAGATGACGATTTAAAGTAGATAGAGGTGGAGAAATAGCTGACACTGTAAAAAATTTCGGATCAAATTACGGTAAGTACCGTCACTCAGGGTGCTGGCACTTTTTGCTGTGAATTTCAACGTTACCGGAACATGTTACGGCAGAAAAAAATCTGATATATCGTAATTTTTACAGTAATATTTACCTTAAAATCACTGAATCACTCGAATTAAATAAATATTACTCATAAAACTACAGTAAAAATAACTTTTACGGATGATGTACCAAAAATGCCGGTACTGTATAACATAATTTGATCCAAAATTCTTTACAGTGTATTTAAAGAATACCTGTAAAGTGTATCAAAGATGGAAAACTTTATTTCCCTCTTTGAGATGCACATATGGAATTTATCGATATTTTTAACTAATAATATCATGCGAATTTGTTGTAACCCTTAAATATATGAATTCCGTTCTTGCTGAACCATAACATCATATAAAAAACTTCAAAAAGAATTCATTAGTCCTAATAATATGGTACAACTTAGCACCGTTTTGAAGTTGCAGCACATTGGTATGATATTATTTATATTTTAATAATTAATTCGATAGTTCAAAACTTTAAATTTTATAAATCATTCAAACATTATAACTTTTCAAGAATTTTATGTTTAGTTTTAAAGCTATATTTTGTCAACAACATTTTTAAAAATTGCTTTAATAATCGATAAAATTACATTAAAACGCAACTACACATTAAATTTTTTCAACTGAAAATAAAAACAATGAAGTTTATTAATAATTTTTAAATGCATTTTTTTCCTTGTGTAAATCTTTTTTTTCTTTTGCTTTCTTTCTTTTTTTTTAATTATTAACATAAACCAAAAACGATGATAAATGATATTGTTTTCTTAGCAACTGCATCCTAAAAAATTGCTACTCCTCAGGGATGCCGAGGGGTTGGAAGAATTGTTCGTATCATTGACGATATTAAGCAAAATTGAGGGTATAAAAATAATTCAGCAAAAATAATTAATTGAAAATTTTAATTAAAGTGTCCGGTGAAAAAGCATATATGCATTTGTTTTTGTTTTTTGCCGGATAAGCTTCTTTAATTAAAGTGTATAAAAACACATACACTCTAAATAAAAATATGAAGGAAAAAAAATTCGAAATTAATTTTGTAAGCAAGTTAAAAAGAAATCTGATTAAAATATAATTACGTAGTTTCACTGTTGCATTCTTGTTATTATAAAAAAAGCCTTGACTTTCTGCTTTTAAGAGTATATTTCCTAAGAATTACTGTTAAAATATAAAGAAAAATTTCCTAAGCATTCCTCTGTTAAAGTTTATATCCAAGGAGAAATATTCGGTTAAAAGAAGTCAAGCCATATCTTTCTGACTTTAAATTTCAGTGATAAATTACGTAAAACCAACTTTAAAGCTATGTTTTCTCAAGGCTACTCTTATCCTTCTAAGTGCTGATCAAGAAAGTTTCCTGAAATAGGTTACAGGAAGGGTGAAAGGATATTGTGTCAAGCATGCATTAGTGAGGAGGAGCGACCATTTTAAAATCTGCAAAGCTCGTATTTAATGCTTATCAACGCTATTTGTTTTTTACAAAAATGTTCTTTTTTTACTATAATCATGCACAAATAGAGTAAACATGATAGTTTTAAATACAAAATCCTAATTTAAAGCCTAAATTTTTTGAGACTTTAATTAAAATTGTGTGTCTAAACAATGTTTATACAAATATTATTTTATAATTTTTGTAAAAATTTAATAAAAGAAAAAATTTAAAATTAAAAGAGCAAAGATAGGGCAAAAAATGTCATGTTAATAATAGCTTGAAATTACTACGTGTAAGATACTGAAACTACTTACCACAACTCTTTATAGGGCATTTTTTTTAGTGATGATATGTTAAAATATTTTTAAAATTGAGTTTTACTTTTAAAAAGAAATTTATTTAGCTTACTACCTAAAACTAATTTGTCATTATTTAAGACTCTTTTTTTTGGCGGGTGAGTTTTTTAAAACTTTACCTGCTGTAATTGGTCATAAATTTGAACTTCTGTGTTTTAAATAACCAAATTTATAAACTCTGTGTTTGCAACCTACAGACTCGATGATAAATGATCAAATGAAGAAACGCATAACACACAAGAAAAAATAGATCCCCTGTGTTGACTTGATCACATGCGAACCTTTACTGTTACCCACAGTTACGTAAATACAGTTCTTCATTGTTTGTTCTTTTTTCGTATTTTCTAAAGCTATTAGCAAATGCTAGTGCAAATCATAGATAGGAAAATGGCTTTCCATCAACAACTATATAATAATGAAGAAGGTGAAAAGTATGCTTCCAGCATCCTTATAAATGTTTACTGCAAATACACCTGCAATTTATATTTTCAAAGATATCAACAATTTTTTAAATCCGGCAGTTTGTAATAGCTGTTACACCGGAACTGGGAACTGGAAAATATAAAATTTTGTTTCATAATAGGATATCAGTAGATCATAAATTTGCATAATAACAGAGGTCGTAGTTTTATCATAATAAATCAGGATAGTGCTTTTTAAAACTTAAAGTGGCAACTAATATTTTTAAAAAAATTATTCTAATTTTCGTATTCATCTTTTCAATAAATTTAAAAGACCACTCTCCTAATTTATCAGGACAACCACGAACAGTGTTATAATAATTTAAGCATGATATTAATAGATAATTAGAACTCCAGTAAATTTATTTCATTTTATCATGATATGATGTTCTAAATTTCGCTTTATCCATTTTTTTTTTCAGTATTAAAATACTATTCAACAAACTGAAACCACTTTGTGACAGAGGAAAAAAAATTTACGAATTATGAAAACCAGTTTCGGAATATGAGTAATAAAATAATGCAAAGTACTGTAAAATGAAATTTAGTATATTATGGTTGTGTATATGTAATGAGATCCACATAAGTAGTTCAGCTCAGGAACTAGTCAGGATATCTGACTTGACTGAAAATTAACGTATAAAAATAACTGTTACTGTTTGGATATCAAAGCTATTTTAAAATTTTGTTCTGAATATTTTTCATCAAATCTTGTTAAACTATTTCGTGTGTCTACTATTCTAAGTGGCATTTAGTCTTTTATTTCCATATCCTTTTTTAATGTATTTTAGCAGACGAATTTATTTAGATAGAATTTATTTAGATCTGAAATTATGCAAACGATTATGAAAACGATTTTTGTTTATTCATTGAGATTTATAGTTTTCGTATGTCACTTATTAGAATTTTCACGAACTAATTTTAAAGCTTCTTACATTAAAATTTTTGAACTTGCGCTTAAATTTGATCTCTAACTTGAGCACACTTGTGTTGATTTAGATTCCTGGATCACTCAAATTAGTGATGTATAGTAGGATCACGGATATATAATCTTGAGATAAAATTTTAACAAAATAACGTTTTGGAAATAATTTAATAAATTTAATTTCTGAAACATTAAACGATATTGTAAACAAATTATTGCTTGTTTAATGCAGTAAAATAATAATAGTTATATATAATAATATAAATAGTTAATATAAATAGTTACTTTTAAATTATAGCTTATTCGAGCTGTAAGCTAGATATCGTTTAAAAAAATAAACTTTTTAAGTTTATTAGAGCTGTAAGCTAGATATCGTTTGAAAAAATAAACTTTTAAAAATATTAATTCGAATGTGTTTATGATTCTGTTGCTGTTATTTCTGAACATTAAAAAAGAGTTAGAGACGTTCATGTTTCCTGAAAACTCATCTGGTGGTATCCGATATCCTTTATCAGTAATTCTTATCTAAATCTTATCTTTCTTGGTCAGCAATAAATTATTTTGTCATAAATTATTTTCAAACAATATTCTTGAGTTTAGTTTCTTAGGATAAAAGCTTTGAATTAAAATATAGAGTTCTAACAAGAAAGTATTTTGTTATTTCTGGCCTATAAACAAGGAAAAAGAAAGAAATGGAGAGAAGCAATACTACTTTGAAAGTTTCGTTTGTTCACAACAAAACATCGCGCATTTCAACGATTAAAAAAGTCAGAAGGAAAAATTTGAAAATTGTCAAAGAAACATACGAAGAACTTCATAGCAGTAAGGAATGTTGCTTGTTTAAAGATAATATTCATACTTTAAACTACATTAATAATGATAATATAGCTAGCTCTTCTAAAACTATTTTTACAGTCACAAATATGCGTTCTCAAGCAAGAATTTCGCATTTAAATGAAAAAAATAATATTGAAAGAATTTCGAATAGTTCTGACATTTATGAAAAAGAAAATAAATGCGTTAAAATAGTTGAAGAGCAAGTAAACGAGTGTTGTTTTTCACAAAATAATGTAACTCCCGCAAAAAATTCGAAATATTCAACCAGTACATCAGAAGTTTACATTTTGCATGAAGATGGTAGAAATTTTGATGAAAAAAGCACAGAAAAATGGGCAATCATTGAAGGTAATGAGATAAGTTCATCTAATATTCATAAGAACTTAGTTGGAAAAGAAAATGTTTCACCTGAAACTTCTAATGAAAAGGATAGTTTTTTAAAATCATTACTATTAACAAAAAATTTAGTGAGTGTTACCGGTCACAATAACTTAATTCAAGAAGGAAAATATATCAT